ATGGTGGTAGTGGTGATGGTGGTAGTGGTGATGATGGTTGTGGTGGTGGTAGTGGTGATGGTGGTATCGGTGATGGTGGTAGCGGTGATGGTGGTAGCGGTGATGGTGGTAGCGGTGATGGTTGTAGTGGTGATTTTGATGTTGATTGTGGTGGTAATGGTGGTGGTGATGAAGATGGTGGTGGTGCTGAAGATGGTGGTGGTGGCGATGATGAAGATGGTGGTGGTGATGAAGATGGTGGTGATGGTGGTTGTGATGTTGGTGGTGGTGATGATGGTGGTGATGATGTTGGAGGTGATGATGGTAGTGATGGTGGTGGTGATGGTGGTGGCGGGGGTGGTGATGGTGGTGATGATGGTCGAGGTGATGGTGATNNGCTCTTGGGGGAGCAAGCTTTGGCTCGGGGGGGGGGGGCTAAGGGGGTTGAGATGATACCCGGCCCCCGCGCTGCTGTTGGGTTACTCAGAGCGCTCGCACACTTCAGGGGGAAGCTCTAGGGGTCTAAGGTGGTAGGGTTCCTAATTTTATGTTGGATTTTCTAATTTTATGCATTTGTTGGTACAATGTTTTGCAAAAAATCCATCGAAGGGAATTTGAAAATCCCTCCAATGTAATCTTCCTGTAGCTAGGTACCTGATCCAAAAGTTACCGTTTTTTGTGCTCGGGAAACGCGGAAGGTAAGTTTTGGCTGAGGGGAAGGGGGGGCTAAGGTGGCTGAGTTGTTACCTGACACTTCACCCGCGTACTGTCAGTAGGTTACTCTGGGTGCACACATATCAGGGAAGGAGTGATGATCTTTGGAGCAAGGATTGGGGTATCTAAGGCAGTTGAGTTGTTTCTCCGGCATTCCGCCTCCTGAGCTCCTACTAGGTTTCTCGTGGTGCACGTACACATAAGTGGGGTGGGCCTATGGGAAAAAGTCTAGGCTCTGTGCGCCTAAAGTGGTTGGGTTGATTCCCGACGCCCCGACATTTGCGCTCACCGTACATTACTCTGGGCGCACGCACATTTCAGAGGAGTGGAAGCTCTAAGGGATCTTTCCTGGTGCGACATCCTCTGGGTTCCCACTTGTTATTGGGGCGCATGAACCCTTCAGAGAGGGGAATGTCACTGGGGAAAGACTGAGGTTTTCGAGGGCTTCGGGGGTTGAGTTCTCGGACGCCCCTTGTGAGCGCAGCCAGGGAGCGCGCTTCTCTGGGGAGCTGTGGGACAAGCTGTGACTAGGAGGAGTTGAGTTTTGCGAGACGAGCTTAATTGGAACATCTATCTAAGGCAGGGTCTATCAACATAAAACCTCGCCGTTGCCTTAACAATCAAACAATATTATACCTACTTCAATTGCAGGTCATAAACTCTCATCTGCAAACTGCGATTTTTGCAATTTATAACAAGAAAAATGTTTGAATAGTGTATTGTTGTATGTTTCTAATTTTATGCATTTGTTGATACAATGTTTTGCAAAAAATTGACAGAAGAGGACTCGTAAACCCTTCAACAGTAATCTAACTATAGCAATGTCTCTGATCCAAGATATACCATTTTGTGCTCGGATGCTTCCTAATTAGTTCAATAATAATTTCAAAGTGCAATTATTCCATTTTGAACAATGTTGAGTCGATGGAATGAGTGAAATCGATGTCGGTAGTTTCTTCTTTAAATGCAAAACTAATGCCATTTTGTGTAAATATAATTAATGTTTTTTGAAGACTTTTTCAGGGCGGAAAAGATACAAAAAATAACAAATGCAAATATCATTCATTTTGGACACTTAATCGCTTCATTCTGGACTGCGTGTTATTATAATTAAAAATAGTTTTCATACCTTACAAATGTAAATGTTATGGAACCCCATTGATTTTTAGTTCAAGATGTTAATGAATAAGTCTTGGAAATGAAACGTAAATTCTAGATTATTTCAATTTTTCGTTTCTCGTACCTTCAAACAAGTCAAGAAGAAAGTCACTCGTCCAATCAAACACATCAGCTGTTGAATAGTTTTTGATAGTCGACCGCAATAGTTGTGACATTCTCAAGCGAATAAGATTATATAATGCATCTATTCTACAGAAAGTCACCATAGTATTATTCACTGAGATCCAAGTGCTAAACAATTTAAAATTATTGTTTAATTTTTTAAAAAGATTTCGGTCTAAAAAAAGAGGAAAACAATTGCACTTTTTCAAGTTTTTGTGCGTGTGATTCACACTACTCACTCGCTTCATCATTGGTCAAGAACTCTTGAAAGTTTTGATGTTGTTCATTATGTTTAACAAAAGTTTTGAGTCACACTAGCTTGTTACGATTTCTATAAAGGAATTTACATGACGAAATATTTAGAATACAGAGAAATTTCACCGACATGTGATGTGGGGTTGTTTGTGTGAAGTATTTCGATCAGAAACAATTATTTAAAGTTTAGAAAAAATTGATCGTTTGCCATGCTAAATGGAATTTAATTTCTTGGTGTTATACCGATATTCATTTTCTATCAATATATCTTTGTCAAGAATTAACGGGAAATAGAAAAGCATTACAATTATTGTGTTAAATACTTTCAAAATTAGTATAATGATTCTTTACTCTTCAACTTCTGTTTCTAACGTAAGTTCATGAGGACCTGAAAAAATTTCCTTTTCTTGAAAATGAAGCTAATACTACATACCTCAATGTGGAATGTTTCGGTAGGATGTAATGTCAATTTATTTTCACTCGTGAATTGACAAAGGAAATTGATAGAAATTTAATCCCGACCCACAAAAAAATATACTCATCCATTCTATATTATATCCAATTGTTTTTATGGAATCCAATCGTTGAAAACTGTTGCGAGTTAACTGTTTAAGACCATGCGAGGAAGTAAAAGGAAGATACGTATCTCCCATGAAATGCAAATTCAGGTTTTATGTAAGGCTTGTGTCAACATATCAGCAGTCAGTGACTGTTACATAACAGGAATCAGAACTGTTCGCGTCTTTTTGGTCACAAAGAGGGGACGATGAAGTGCAAAATGTTGTTCGTACTGTGAGGTGCGGTACTGCTCAATTTAGTCTAAAGAACAGGACACGAAAAAGCGTAACGATCTAATCTACCACAACATATCTATTGCATTTCTATCCACAACTAGGAAGCGAATATACGTTAGATCTACGTGACCTACTTATGTTTGTTCTAAATTGTGCTGGGTCAGTGTATTGGGTTGGGCAGTGAACTGATCGATTTATGGGAACAGGCCGAACTGTAATGCTTCCTGTTTTATAGTGTTTCGAATATACGAAATACGAATGATAGCAACATATTTCTGTTGTAATAAAAGTGTTCATTGTTATGTGCTTATTATGGAGATATCCGTGGGAAAATAGCATGTTATATGAAAATATATTGCACGAGAAAGTTATTTGGAACTTTTGATACATCATATGCAGTGTATACCAGCGCTCTTAGAATATTGAAAGCATAGCTTTGCTATATGCGAACTGAATGCAAAAATTATGTCAGAGATCTTGGTCAAAGGACTGACATGCAATTGGTTCAAGTGAATAAGGTAGTGATTTCCAAGTGGGTAATGTGCTCCTCAACATGCAATATCTCTTCTACGACTTTTTGGTCTAAATAGTTATTGGGAATGAACGATATGATAGGTTAAAGGTGAGAAAATATGAGAATTCGCTTCCCATCAGATTCCATAAATCAACTCATCATTTCTGTTTTTCTGCGTCATTACACTTCATTAAATGCGCAGTGAATCAAAATTTTGGGGGATATGCACCGCAATGTTCTTGAGATTCAGATTACTTTAGATAGGTTCGCCAATTGTATTTCGACTGATATTTTATTTTAAAAGCAATTCTGCAAAAGCAACTGATACGATTATACCAAATTGGTACTACATTTGATGGACACTGTCCATCGCGTGGTCTAAAGATAGAAATTTAAATTTATGAACTTAGTTTAGTGAACTAGGAATAGTAAGAGTTTTTACTAAATGTTTTTAAGTGAATTATAACAATTACCACGTCTAAACGAAGATTTATTTGGGAGTCAGACTCAGTTTTATGACTTTCTCGTTAAGAAATCGTTGAAAATTTCAGACCAGACAGAAACTTCACTTAAGGGAACTGGTAATAAAATTGGTGATAGCTGCATATGATGTTCAGTGACGTAGGGAACACAAAACAGGAAGCACTACTCCTTTGGTTATTCTATGAATCACTGGAATTCAAATAATGAAAAATTTGATACTTCATACTTTTGAAATTCATGCGTTTGAAATTATAATATTAAGAGAAAAGAAATCGAGACACGTGGCAGGATTTGAAAAATTTCAAATTATAAAAAATATCAATTTTATTTTCTCTAAGCACATACAGAGTTTTTACTAGTGCAAACGCATAGAAAACAATGAGTGCTTAAGAATTTACAGTACTTCAACAATGACTCACCACTGTAATTTTTTTGTAATTGAATTACGATAGCATCCCAAAAGTATTTTACAGAAAAATAGCATTGGGAGCGTTCATGTATATTTTGAATCATAATTAAAAGATTTATCAGAGAATATATTATGTATATATATGATTGAAATCCATTTTGGTGAGCACATTTATTGCCAAAATAGGTCCATTTCTCACACGAAGCTAAAATTGATTTGTTCAATATATGCGGCAGAATTGCTTTCCTCCGCTATGTTTTTGTGTTTAAAATGGAAAAGTTGTAACTCGTTGGAATTTGGAGGACCATCCGATTTTTGTGGTGTGTTTCCAGTGGTCTCACAAAACACCTTCTGGATCGCCTAGTTAAGAGATGTATAAATAATTATTTGGTATTATATTTAAGTATTCGTAGGGATTTACATCAGGTACTGTAACTCACCTTGTCAGTCTGAGCATTCTTTTTCGAATTCCAACAAAATTCCAAAATGGCGACCAAGATCGCTAACGCCAGTCCACAGAGAAGAACGACGAAGACTCCTCCTGTGAAAACGAATAGCTTTGAGTCAATAAATTGAGCTACAATATATGAAGATAGTTTTATAATTTGGAGTGTATTTACTGATACCACAAAATGTTTCCATTTGATATAATAACGATAATATGAAGCTTATACAGTATCGTAGGCTTTCACGGCCGGAGTCAATAGCAGGTAGAGTTTCCGGGCTGGTAGGCCGTGGTCCAGTTGGCATAGTTGGGCCAAACGTTTCGTCCACGTCTGCGGTGGACATCCTCAGTGGCGGCAGGGTCGCGGGCGCAGTGTCCGGGGCGGCGGCTGGCTAGCGCCAGTTAACTATGCCAACTGGACCACGGCCTACCAGCCCGGAAAATCTACCTGCTAATATGAAACTTGTTGACAATATATGAGAGTCTGAAAGAGTCAAGGTCTTGTTGGTTCCCAAATATATACTCTTGTCTTATCTTATTTGCCTAATTGATATATTCAATTCATTAATTCATCATTCGCTCACTTGATCGTTCACCAGCAAGCCACTCAAGAAGTATCTTTTCAAATTTCGAAACAGAAAGACAGAGGTTGTAAGGGGAGACGAGAAGAATTGTAGCTTTAGTAACCTTTATATACAGGTGTCCGGGGAGGAAACGTCGAAAATTCAAAAATACGCTCTTAAGACAATTTTAAGCCTTTTTTGCCCAATAAACTACTTGGATATTCCGAATGGCAGAGCCGCAATAAGCAATCAAAAGTTGGTTTGAAAAAATGATTTCTAGACAAAAATGTGCACTGCAGAAGCATAGAAACACTCCAGAAATATATACATTTTTTTATTATTCACAAAGGAAATAAATATATTTTTTCAGAAAAAAAAATCAACCCAGAAATAAAAAAAGCACCCAATTTACACAATTTGATTGCGTTTTTATTATTGGGTTAATTTTTCTTTCTGGACAAATATATCCATTTCTTCAATCCAATTTGAGCGTGAACTAACATCCACCCACAAACGTGCAGTACACCATGAAGAATGAGACGTACGAGATTGGAGGATTAACACTGTCACAGACCAGCTGTAGAGATGGGAGTGGGGGCAGGGTAGGAAGGAAGATGCGCGCGGTCGACGCCCATTGTTCGAGATACAACTCCGGCATCCACCTTGAAATAATCGGAGGTACCACTCACGTAACCCGACAGAGAAGCGCGCATCTAGAATTCTTGGTCACGCCATGTTATGGATATTAAATATACATTATCTCTCCCTTAAAAAATTAACATATAGGATTTTGATGGCAAATAAATAGTATAATTGTACTCGAATCAAATTTCAAAATTTGTAAATCATTATTTTAAATGTGAAAATTGCTACAAACTCGAACACAATTCCAAACGGTCAGATCCTGAACTGTGAGTTACATCGTGTACGCGTGGTAGTGATGCTGGTAATCATTCCAATAATGCTAATCGTTTATTAACAGACAGAAAGGTTTAGATCCGTGCGGTTACACTGCACATAGTATAAAAAAAGAAGAAAATCAATGATGCACTAAAAATTATAGATTTTGCACGTTTCTTACCGCTCTTGCTACAGATTGGAGGTACCCAGAAGAGCTAAAATACTCAAAATCCTTCGGTTTGATACCTTATTTGTTGTTGGGAGTTTTGTAGGTGTATGGAAAAACGGATGTTGGCAAGAGTAATATAATACGAGAATTAAATATTGCTTTCATTTCCATGGGGTGGAGCGTGGATTATTTAGATCGCGCGCCGTCCGTGGCCCGTTTGTCAGAGTACTTCTCCAGTATTTGCCTGGTGTTGACAGAAGAAACCACAGAATACTACCGAACAGAACAGCCTGCCGCTAGAGTTCTCCTCCAGACAACGGCTGCATACGACCTAGTATGTAGTTACTATCTAAAATCTTGCCACCGTCGTGAGTGGAACTCTAGGACCTCGCGGTCAGAAGCACCGCACCGACAACAGTTGATGCTCTGAGCCATCTTCGCCTGTTCTCATATAGAGTCGCGGCTGGATTTCAAAGATCCGAAGGCGATTTTGAGTGAATGGGAAAGCGACGAAGGGCAGACTGACCGATGTTCTCGATTCCCAGCGCGCTGGCTTTGGACTCCTTGCTCTTCTCGTCGCGGTGGCACACGTCGCCCGTGTTCTTCCACCACTTGTCGTACAGCAGCTGGATGGTGCCCTTCTCCTGCAGCTCCAGGATGGCCAGCGAGATTTTGTCTCTCCACGGAGAGCCTGCGAAGCAAGGGCATGCATTGGAAATCGTTTGGACACTGAAGTTATTTAGAGTATGGTGATCTTCAATATTAATATTCCAGTTTATTAAAATCTATTTCAAGGCCAAGAAACCATTATCGTTATTCACATTTCTCAGGAATGCTGTATGAGAATATTGCATTGATAAACCATTTAAGTGAATCATGATTTGATAAATTTAGTAAATATATTTTTTGTACAATTCAATTAAAACACTAATGCTAAATGCACATAGATTCACAAACATAAAATCTCAGAAAAATACAGTTAGTCCATAACCCACAGTACTCAATATAAGGGAAAATATCATTATACACGTCATGAGAATGGTGACAAACTGTGAAAGAGGATAGCGATGGTATTGATATTAACTATAATTTATTAGGAAGTACATAATCAAATAATATGCTTCCCTCCATCACTCACAGTTAGACGCTTTTCGGTCCAGAAATCGAGAAAAATTAGGTCATTCAACGCGTTTCTTAGCAAACATGGGGGGGGGGAGGTAATTCAGAATATTCTAAGAAATATCTCTAAAAACTCGTTATTTTGTTTTTTAAAGAACTTAAACGCCTTTTGAATGATTTATGGCCCCTACAGAGGTGATCAATCACTCATTCGATTCCTCGCGACTAGACAAATCGATTGACTCCATTCTTGGTCGATTCCTCCTGACAATACTCGAAATGAACGAGCCGGGCAACTGTAATAAGTTTCATTTTATATTATGAATTTAAAAAGCCTAAATTAAATTCTTAATCATGAAAATACTCATGGAAACGCCACGATAAGCTAGTAATTAGTAATGAAGAATGTTTGTTGTTTTCTGGACTGATGTGGAGAAATACATGAGAAGTGTAACAGTTTTTCCCTTAGACTATGTTCGACCAATCCGGAAACCGACAATAATAGTGAAGCCAGATTGCATTTGATAACCAATATTGTATCAATTGAATGTAGGCTTTTCACAGCAATGGAGTTCAATATTTAGTTAATCCTTAGCTGTGGACAACCTAGGGTCAGTAGACACAATTCTGCATTTCAATCCTAAATATAGTAATCAGGTAACCTGCGTGTGCCTGGCCGTGGCTCAAGCTTATACCAGTCCACAATTTCGCGCTAATAATCTGTCATTTGACATGCCTCTGTCTCTCCTGTGTAACATTTTCTGGAAGGATACTGGGGAAAGTGATCTCCTATAGAGCGCCCCCCATACTTCCAGAAAATGTTAAGAGAATTCTCAGAAATACATCTTGTAGATTTTAAGCACCAAAAAGACGTATCTTGACAAGACAAATTGATGAAATTCGTGTTATACTGGAACAAATATTTAAAAGAAAGTATTTTCATTTCACCTTTTCTTACGTAAATTTCAATGTTCGAGGATGGATGAGCCAGACACTTGTCTTGTGTTTAACATGCTTAATGTTCTTTATTCGGTGAGCTTGCGTAGCAATTTAAAAATGTCTAGCATGAAAATACCTCACAGAGGCGCCACGCTAAGCTTATTTTAAGTATTTGGAAATGCTAATTTATATACGAGTGTCTATATAGTGTGCACCGGTATCTGTCTAGAGCAGTGCATGCCGAGGCGACACCCAAGCTCGACCGGTGGGCATATATTCGAGTGTCTATATTGCGTGCCTCGGTATCTGACTAGAGCCGTGCATGCCGAGGCGACACCTCAGCTCGACCGGTGGGAATGTATTCGAGTGTCTATATTGCGTGCCTCGGTTTCTGACTAGAGTCGGGTGGCCGGTGGGCGGAAGTCGCTTGTCACCTTTGGGCGTGGCGATGCCGTAGCCCTTGGAGTCGAGCAGGCCGCCGATCTGCGTGAGGTTGCAGTCGCGCTGCACGGCGTAGTCGAGCATGGTGGACTCCATGAGGAAGGCGTAGTTGCCCTCCAGCACGCGGCGGATGCCCTCGTCGTAGGACGACACCAGCACCGACGGCCGCTTGCTCTCCATGAAGCGCCACATCTTCTGGTAGATGCCGATTTTCGAATCCTGCGCAAAGCGAACATGCATGTAGCCAACATTCTTATAAATGTGTTTTTTCTTATAAAGGTGTCTGATAATAAATGTTACAAACGTCTAGGGCATGCAGTAAGGTCGAAGATTATCTCATTTGACCATTGAACACGTGATGGGAAATTTCGAAGCTATAACGAAGTTTCACATGACACAAATTTGAAAAGGACTGTTGTTTGGTTGACAAATCATCATGCACTGGTGTTTGGGGGCTCTCGAGGGGAATCTCGCACACTCGTAATTAGTCCAGTTGACCGGTTCTCAAAATGCAGAACAAAATCTAATATTTTTTGTCACAGGTTCTGTGTATTTTTGAAGGAGCTAAATTCCAATTTTATGTTTTATTTCTCGAGAAATGTCGGCTTCGCAGAGAAAATTGCATAAACCTTGAAACATTTCGCACTTTTACCGCCCTCGCTTATATTTTAACAACTATGCGTTATAAATAAAAATAAAACACTCGATACTGATATTGCGAGTGAGAGTTCCCTTGAGAAGCTTGAGAAGTTTTTGCATCTGTCAAACATGTCCTGGATGAGTGGCCTACCTGTCAATGGTCCGTTGGCGGCGCCCTGTTAAAAAATGGAACGTATACATTCTTCATTATATGAGATATTCCATCAAATATTCAATGAAAAAAGTTATCATCCTTGACTTCCTACATGTTCTAGAAGTTTGTAACATTTATTATGAGGCATCTTTATTAAAGTAGTTTGTTTTATGACGTTCCCTCATTCCAATCCAGGCACTTGAAAATTGTAAAAATTGGGCCATGAACAGATCCTTGACCCAGTAATGACCACTCAACATTTCACCCCTGGGCATGTCTGTGATACTATAAGTACGTAAAAGTACCAGTTAACGCTGTATTACTAAAATGCCAAGATTAATAAAATGTGACCATCTTCTCCTTATTCTTATATAAAAAAGAGAAAAACAATAAAGCATCATCGTTTGACTCTTCCCCACTAGAAGGTAAGTTTCACATTCTTCAAATTTGTAGCAACTGAGAAGCCTCCTGTATATTCATATTTTTCAAATGCATTAACAATGGCCACACTTATACACGCAAGTTTTCTTGAGACCTCGGAATTCCTACCCGCTTTTTCACTAACATTAGTCGTATTAAAACAATAAAAGATAGCAAAATCCTTGTTCTCAAAATCTGATAACCGGAAATATTTGCTACCGTGTAATTCAAACCTTTTTTAAATCTAAACACGAGCTAAAGATTTGATATAACAGTCCTACTGTCTAACTAAACAACTCCGAGCTCCTCTCCCATCAAATCAAGGGTAACGAGGGCTGAAGCAAACGCGCGCGGATGGCACCCGGTTCGCGCGTCACTCACCCTGAAGAAGGTCATGGTGGAGCCGCCCTCGAGCGTGCCGTACGAGATGTCGGTCTGGTCGGCGAGGTCGGCGGCGCTCTCGATGGGCGTGATCATGCGCTCGACCGTGAGGAAGGCGGCCAGGTTGGCCGTGTACGAGGAGATGATGATGAGCGTGAAGAACCACCAGATGCCGCCCACGATGCGCGTGGACGTCGCCTGCGACACACGCCGCGCGTCGCGTCGCGTTTCGCTCGCAGCGCGCCGCCCCCACCCCGCCCCCACCCCACCCTCGCTACCTACGGGATGTTCCAAAACGCTCTTCCCTTTTACAGAACGGTTCGAAATTGCCGGCGGACCTTTGAAAGTCGGCTGCGTCACAATAAGGTAAGTCATCTATACAGGGCCGGATTAATCAGTTGGCACATTGCCTAGGGTCTACGAACATGAGGGGCCTAAGATAGGGCTTTCTGAGAAAAATTTTTAAAAACTTGATTCAGGGTTAAAAATAAATAAATCATATAATAGGAAATTATCGATTTTTTAACCTTTAATCTGAAAAATAACTTCAATAATTTATACATTACAGTACATATAACACTGAAACGTAGGTTTGTATAAGAGCGCGAAAAAATCAAAAATGGAGAAATCTTTCAGTCACATATACTATGTGATCAAAAGTATCTGGACGCGTCCAAAATGGTGTTATGGTATGGTTGTGCTTTTTTCATGGAGGGAGCTTCCACCCCTTGTTGTTTCGTGTGGCACTATCGCGGCACATGCCTACGTTGACATTTTAAACACCATCTTGCTTCCCACTGGTGAAGAGCAATTCGGGCATGGCGATTGCATCTTCCTACACCACGAACAGCTGTTCATACTACACGGCCTGTGGCGGAGTGGTCACACGAAAATAACATCCCTGTAATGGACTGACATGCACAGAGTCCTGACTTGAATCTTATCGAATACCTTTGGGATGTTTTGAAACGCCGACTTTGTAATGGGCCTCACAGACCAACATTGATACCTCTTGCCAGTGCAGCACTCCGTGAAGAACGGACTACCATTCCCCAAGAAACCACCCAGCACCTGATTGAAAGTATGCCGCGAGAGTGGAAACTGTCATCCAGGCTAAGGGTAGAACAACACCGTGTTGAATTCCAGAATTACCGATGGAGGGCGCCACGAAGTGATAAGTCATTTTCAGCCACATGACCGGATACTTTTGATCACACAGTGTAAGACGACATAAATTTCAAATGCATTGTGTTATCAATAGTCGTCTAAATTACCGTTTTTTAAAATTACAAAAACGTTTAACTATTGTATTTTAATATGGTTCTACAATTTTTTCTTAGGCTTACAAAAAATTGAGCCTAGGGCCTACGTCACGCTTAATCCGGTTCTGCGTCTGTGATATTCGGCTCTTGTGAAACTGCAAGTGTCTTCCGCCAGCGACGAAACATAACGCGCTCACGGTGGTCAACCTTTTGAAACTCGACGAGAAGGCCGCCACCTACTGGGGATGCCTTCCTTGTATTATACGCGCACGTTTTCTTGAGCTCCAGCATACCTCCCCCCACTTCTTACCTAACATTAGTTGAATACAGAATAAATGATAGCCACAAGTTTTATTGACAAACTCTGATACCTAGAAATGCTTGCTCCCTTCTAATAGAAAATAGTTTGCATCGAAAAACGAGCTACAGATTTCATATAATTATCCTGTCAATAAAATAATCAAACCCCCACTCCCTCGCATCTAGTGACATGAGGGCTCAAGAAAACGTTCAGGGATAATAACAAAGCGATGGCTTTGCGGAAAGGAAGTACGCGACACGCTCGTCGGTGACCTTGCGACACTCAATTGTTTCATAATTTTGGCAGCATTTTCATGGATTTGCTGTCTAAAGAATAGCTTATTGCTCTTATGCATCCATAATTGTGCAGAATCAAAATTTTATTGTGTTAACGCGGACAAAGCATACTTTGTTATTAGGCGGTATTTTATTAGCCTCTGATGCTTGGTATTGTCTGCATAGCACTTTCTTGATTATTTTAAAACGACGATTTTCAAACCAATTTTGGAAAAAGTGGCATCTTGGATAATTATTTATAACGCTCTCTCAACGGCCCGAAAACAATCTTGAATCATTGTGTATAAAGGTGTCGAGAATTATCCCTTAACGCAGCGGCTTCCAATCGGTGGTTTACGAGCTTACTAGTTTAAGAGATTCGCAAAAATAATATAGTAATGGTGGAATTTTTCATCCTAACCATATCATAGATATAAACTTACCAAAATTATAAATACGAAACAGGTTCAATACTGAATGTGATCTAAAACCCAAACTTTCATACATTGAACATATAATTGTTTTAACCAAACTCTCAAATCATCTCGTTGCGGTTTAACCAGATCTTACGCAAGCACAAATCGGTATTCATTGAATTAAAAATAATAGATTCATTTAGCTTACGAGGATGATTGTTTTGTTATATTGTATTACCTTGTATTAATTAGATAAGATAAGCTTGCGCTTTGGATGTATTAATTTGCATGTTTTATGATAACGGTTTAGTTGTTCATTGCAAACTATTTTGTAAAATGAATAATTCATTTAATAACAATCTAATTAAATTGTTTACTTTAATGCTACGAATGTCTGCCCAGAGAATTCGATATTGGGGTTTAAGGGGGTGCGTTCAGAGAAAAATGTTTGGGAAAAGTTGCGTCAATTGAATCAACGAACGAATCCACTCGCTCCGCCGCAAGTGCGGAGAACGAAAGTCGCAAATGAACGAGAGCTTGTGGCGTTTTGCGCAATTATGAAGAGAGGTATTTTTAAAAAAATTCGTGTGTGCATAACAACGCAGTCAGCATGTTGCACAGACTCAATGTTTTTACGTTAAACACGAAGGCTGAAGGCCGGAGTGTCGTCCCCAACCAAGAAATGTATAACGAAGCGTCAACTAAGGTTTTAAAATATTAGCAAATAGACGTTCTTCTGTACGATGTGCCCTGTCGTTCATGGTTTCTCTGTTTTATCGGGGTAAGGACTCAATTTTTTCCGTTGTTTATGAAAACGACGTTTATGCGAGGGAAGGCCCGTATGTTTCCAAATGTTTGGAAGGGAAAATTTACAAGATTATCGGCCAATCACAAAACAGACAAGATAACTGCTATGTAACAGGTTTATTTTAGAGCAGTTACGGAGATGATGTTATGTAATTAGAAAATATGATTTACTAGGACCTTTACATCGTGTTTTTACAATAATGTTTTTTTTAAATAATGTAGTTTCATTATGACTGTAATTAAGGCGTTCAAAATCTGACGGTTTCATTATATTGAGACCATCCGTAAATAAAGTATTAATTGATAAGTGACCAAACTGTATATGTCACTACATTTATAGGAAGAGTTTGGTTTTTTCATCATTAAAATCCGTCGATTGGTTCTAAACCTTTCAAAGACGGGCACAAATGCAAAGTCAAATGTAAAGAACGTAACTATTCTTACGTTGTGCAGAAGAAGAAAATGAATCAACAATAAGTAATGCTTTCTTAGAACTCGAAATGAAAATAGATGGTTATAAAAGAAATATCAGGGCGTTTTTTACTGTTGGTAACCTAAATTGTAATGTCCATTATTTTACTGTTCCCCTTAAAGTCCGTGTTGCGGAATTTGTAATGTTCATACTACATTATGTGCGGCTTTAAGATGTAGAATTAAAATGCTCAAAATCACTTGACCAGTAAGTAAACCAAAATATTAGTATGCAATAATTTAGCTGCTGTAATGAAGTCACCCAGCGTCAGTCGGTAGGTATCCATGACTTATGACGAAGGTCGCATTACGACTGCTCCTACCGAGTATCAAGAAAATGGACGCGGGTAGTACACAATATACCTCCGACCATTGGTTCCGAGATTCAGCTGTAGGTTTATTGGCCGGACATCCATTCTAAAACTATTACTTCAAAACAATATGTTAAGATAAGTTGATCTTCATGTGTATCTTGGCCCTCTTATCTAAGTACTAAGTTCTTCCACGCTTACGAGAATATTGGGGTTGCCTGTTGTAATGAACCTTCACCATGTCTAAAAGAATCAGTAATTTTGGAAACACAATTTTAACTTCCTCCTATATTCCTCGTCAGCCAGAATAATTCCTGTCGGGCTCCCCATAGGAAAAAAGAAAATGACTCTTCTGACTAAGCCGAAACACCAAATAATTTGAACACTAATTCACGAGGAAAATTAAGGAACTGACAATCCCGCACTTCGGTGGAATATTGTGGAGGGTCGTTTTGCTGAAATATCTTGATTGTAGTGAGCGAATATCTTTCAAATCGCCTACATAAACGTGGTCAATTACGGTATACGCTCGCAGAGCGTCTGGTATTCACAGTATTTTAGCATATGATGTTTTCATGTTTTTTATGAGCAGCGTCCATTCACTCTACCTTCATTTGCGTTAGTCTTTATTAAAAATGATACATTCTTTAGATGGTTAGTTTTAATTACTTGCAATATTATAACATAATGGATCTATAATAACAGCTATAATAACTAACAACTATTTTATTTATGATATCAGGAACGAGACTAGTGCATTGTTACTCGAAACAATGAAGACTATTCGTACGTTCCTACAAACATTTATTCCCCTCTCGCTTGGTGGAATATTGACCATTTGCTGTGCCCGAACTTTAATGTCATAGCGACATAAAGGAAGCATTAAATTTGCAATAATCCGGGGTAAACGAGACATTCAATCGTATGATTGTCTAAATTTACAATTTCGAATATTGTGTATCTGGTAAGTACACTGCTCTACACAATATAAAACAATTATTTTCTAACTCAAGATCTTGACAGCAATATGGCAAATAATAAAATTGTCACGGAAATGCTGAAGCAAAAGCGTAGCGTCATTAGGGATCATACCCGTATATCTTCAAACTTGGCAAACACAGCAAAATGATTTAATTTTCATGTTATCTCAGAGACTAATTAATTTTCAAGCACTGTAAAGTGAGAATATTTGTCTTCGTCATGCAATTTTGTGTGTCAATTCCACGTAATTTCACTTAATCTAATAGAATATATGTAATGAAAAGTGGGCGAATAACTTACAAAGTGTGCCTTCACGAGTGGATAGAACTTAAAGAGAAGAAGCCCGCGCCATCTGACCTTTCTTCTAATAATTT